AAAAAAGCACTTGAGGCATATTTACCATCAATATTGATGTCTGCTGGAACAAACAAGTTAAATCCTCTACATAATCCCATTTGCTCTGGCTTTCACAATGTGCTGGCTGGACCCACTGAGGGTTTTAGCAGCTCCAGGAGTGCTGGTAGCAGGAGGGATACATCTTTTGGGAAACATTTTTCCACAGGAATCTACTGGGAGTTTCAGAGACCAAACAGAGCTGACCTGCACCTGGCTGTGGTGCTAAGTTGATTTTAGAAATGCTTCACTCCACAGACACTGACAAAGAGTGGGCAAGAACAGATCCAGTACATCTGTCTTCTCCCTGCAGTCACCACTGCTGCCTCCAGGATTCTTCCAGCCTTGGGTATGGTATTTTTCTAATCATTAAAGTGAATATTTTCATATTACATAAGAATGCATTGTTCTGCATGGAGTCAGACAGAAAATGCTGTTTTAAAATGTACAGTCCATTGTTTCATGTCATCTTTTTTACTATCTTAGCAGATAGAAAAGCCCTGAGACCAACTTTGTATTTTTACCCACGAGCTGACAGGTTGCTTCCTACCCTCAGCTGGTGATGTCAGCAACTCATCTTGTCATGCTTTTAATGCCTTAACAGCTTTGGTCAGGTTGCTGTAAAATCCAGATATGCTAGATGGAAAAAAGGAATCCACCACTGTCTGGGGAAGATAGCCACCAAGATCCGTCTGAAAGAAAGTGAGGAGCTCAGTCCTGTTTGGCTCTCTGCAAAGACAATGAAAGTGATTTTATAGACAGCAGTTTAAGAGCATTAAGAACTTTTCAGTGACTCTTACTTGTATTAGAATAGATACTTCCAAAAGCTTTTCTTTTTTTTTAAACAAAACAGACAAATTTCAGTGAATGTCACTACAAAATTAAAGTTTATCTAGGCCCTAATTAGCTACATGATTGTGTCTATAAATTATGGAAATCAACTAGATAATAATTTACCAAAAATTAAGACCATACTTGTGTTTTGCTGAATTTCTAAATTTCAAGAGGTCAGGGAGAATTGCACCATGATAACAGTTTCTGTAATATTAAAGACTTCCCTCTAGGAAATGAAGATAAACTAATTCGTTGCACAAAAATGAGAACAAGAACACTCAGTCATAATGATTACTGGGAAGGCAGAAATATACCAGTGCCAAGAGGTTACAGGTCACATGTGGCCACATACACATAAACACACCACACAATGGATAAGGAGGGCTTAAGAATTTATAACATTCAAGCAGGATGTTTCTTACCCTGGAACAGGTATGCAGAAACAGCCACAAGGATAATTAAAACCTCTCACAAAATTTGGTTGAGGAGGACACAGCGGGTGCTCCACATTGGTGGCTAAAAGAAAAAGCATTGAAGGAAAATGTCATTCTTCCAGAAAACAGGAAAGAGTCATTGGTAGGCAAAACTCCAGATGGGAAACAAACTCACTATTCAAAATGTATTTAAAAAGAACTGCAGTACAACTTCTTCAGTGTGGGTCTGAGAAGCGGTCAGAAAAGACTTTAAAAGGAACTACCCTGGCCTTACAATGGGGAAATCAAAGAAGTGCTGAATTTAGAAGCAATTGTTACTGAGCTCTGAAGAAGGAAGCATTGACATTTGACACAGTTTCATCGAGCCCATGTTGTCTGAGGGCATTGCTTTTCTTCAGAGGTCATTTGAGCTGCTTCCAACAAATCCAGGTCACATAGATACATCACTTGGCTGCTGAAAAGCTGCACTCTAGCAAGCATGTCAATTCCTGACAAGGCTTTTCTGAACAGGATAGGAAAATGGCACACCCGAACAGTGGGGCAATAAAAGCTCAGACCTGCAATAGTTAAACAACAGAATGCAAGTGAAAAAACAAATAAACATACTTTTGTACAGTGGCAGCCCCTTAAATATCAGCACCTTTTTTCTTTCATAAAACCAATTATTTTCACATACAGGAGTGGTACATTTATTCAATGGCTTCCCTGAACTCCGTGCAGAAAATGTTAAAACAGGATTTAGCCTAAATGAGACTCCTTTTAAAAAGTTCTGTAAATTCTGAAAACAACAAAAAAAACCACACTCGAAATACTCCAGAATTTAACAGTAAATTAAATACTTATTCAATCTCAAAAGGATAGCAAGGGAACAAATCATAGGCCAGTCCTATCATTATCTGAGTCCTAAGATGATTTATATACGCTGGAAACAACAATGTAGAGAGATTACCATTTTTCCCTTCTGATTAAGATCAGGTCAACAACTACTGAACAGCTTGTTACTTAGTTTTAATTTTATGGGTTTTTTTTTCTGGTAGCTTTATTTTATAGTTGTTTCCAGTAGCCCTTGGTTATCTCCAAATGTAACATGAACCTGTTCAGAAGACAAGTGCCTCACCAGCAGACTGCATAGTCCCATCTTCGTATTGCTTCATCACTACTACATCCACAAATTCCCTGGGTGAAATAACCCTCATGCAAGCTGAAGGGGTTGTGGTTCTGCATATAGAGACAGTCTGGAAATCACAGAACAGTTATGTCAGTTGATGCTTTCAAAAGTACAGCAGAAAAATCCCTATACTTTCTGGCACTCTTCTAGTTATACTTTCTAAACTCCATCAAGGTGTTCCATGTGCTTTGTTGAACAAACTGTAAATCAGCACAATCAAAAGGCACTACCATGATCAATCAAGACAGGAAAAAAACAGTGACAAGGCATTGCTTCCATGTTCAGAGGGGACACGTACCACAAGGGATGCTGAAATGCAAATCTGGCACATCTGTGCTCCCAGGAGAGTTAAAACCCTTGTCCTCCCCAGGACACTAGCAAAGACGACTTCTTTGTGTAGTATACACAGGATACAACTTGATAACCCAGTTTGTTTCCCTGCACAACATTAACCCTACCATCTGCTTCCCTGATTGGCTCCCAAACAGAAACTGGCGAGTCGGTGAATTTCAAGTGGCAGGCTGCAGCATTTCTGAACTTGTCTATAATGAATACTGAATGCCTACAGGATTTCCCCAAGAAAAATAAACTTCCTGGAACTTCCACAAACATTTCAGGGACTTGATTGTGTTTGCACCTGGCTGCCTCTGAGCACATACGACCACTTCAGATTGGGAATCTAAATCCAACGCCCTTCTGATTTTCCCACATGCTTTAAAAAGAAGGAATCAGACTGTACAAGTGTGGCAGCAGAAGCTGCTGGCTCATACACAGCCCTGCTCATCTGTCTGCTCAGAGTGCAACATCTCCATTTTAATGACAGATGCAAAGCACTGGCTGCTGAGGCCAGCCAAAGGCAGGCTGTGATGTGCAGGGCAGAGCGTCACTGCTGCCATGGTGAAAGATGGGGCCTGAATTGATGCCTGATGACGTGAATGCTTCACTGCTTAGCTAAGTCTGTGTACTCTGTAAACCTCCTCGTCCCTCACACTGAGCTTGCCAAAAACAATCGTGCTTAGCTTGATTTTGTAGCATTAACAACAACGTGGTGCAGGAATCTTTAATGTCAAATATTTAAAGTTATACATACATATATATGTCATACATTTGCATATTCACAGTATTTACCCAATAATGATTTTCCTTTCCTTTCAAGAAGATAAGCTATCGCATACACACACACACATATATATGTATATATATGTATATATGTATGTATGTTAATAAAATGTATAAAATTCATGGAAAAGGATAAAGAAAAAAACCAAAACAAAAAAGGGAAAGGTTTCTTAACCCAGCATCACTCAGCTGATCCAGCCCGAAACACAGTACAACTTAAGACTCACTAGATCCCTGCACGTAACATCGGCTGTCTCATAAGGCCCAACAGCAGAGCTTTTAAGGAACTTACATCACTGATGGCTTCGATGACCTCGAAGTCCTTCACGTTTTGGTCCCACTTGGTCCTGAGCCCGCCGGCCACCGGCTTGATGCACTCCCAGACATTCTGCGGGCTGGCGGGCAGGATGCCCTCTCCCCTGTACCTGCGGGGGAGCAAACGAAACCGAACCGCGCTGCTCGACCCTGCCTGGCCCCGGCAGCACCGCGGGCAGAACCCCGCGCCTCGGGAACCAGCCGTACTCACAGATTGCCAGCGAACTCCGCCGAGGGTCTCCAGGACACCGCGACCTCACCCTGCGGGACGGGAAGCGTTCAGTCCCCGGGCCGGCTCCCGCCCGTCCCCGCCGCAGCCCCCCGACCCACCGTGCTGCGGCAGCCCCGCCGGCCCCCGACCCACCGTGCTGCGGCAGCCCCGCCAGCCGTCGGGGTCCCGGCGGTAGAGCTGCAGCTGCTCGGCCGCCGCCTCAGCGCCCCTCACCTGAGGGTGACGCCGGCCCGGCCTGGCCGCGCCTCACGGGACAGCGGGCGCGGGGCTGGGGACCGGCAGAGCCCGGGGAAGGCACTGCGGGATGTGGTAACGTGTGCGGGATCGGAGGCGGAGCGGTGCTGCCTCGGAGATGGGGCCGCCCCGCAGTCGTCACTGGTGTGATCCCATCCCAGTGACGCGGAGAGAAACAAGCGCAAAACCAACCAAGCAATGTTCAGTATCTAAAGGAAGTGCGAAATTGCAGTGCTGTGTGAAAGACGGGATAGAATTTGGAAACTACGAGTAATGAAGTGAAGTAATGAAGTCTCCATTTCTAAAGGCCACGGATCGAAAGTTTACCCCTGAGAAGTTTACCAGGCTGGTCTGAGGCTGACCAGAAAATTAATAGAGGATCTAGGATTTAATCTAGAAGTCTGACTCACGTTGTCAAATAACTCCCCTATCCATGTGATGCACTCTAAAGAAACTCAGTTAACATTTTTTCCGGATTTGTTTGGGCCACAGCATATTCAAATCAGGCACATCAAGATCTACTCCAAGTAGCAACTTGTAGTAGTTTGCAGGAAGCTGATTCCCTGCTGAATTTATTCAGGAAGCATCTTCAGCTCTGGCTGCATCAGATAAAACCAGCCTCATCTGATGTATTTTTGTACTGGTTTAATTGAAGTGCTCCAAGTACATGGCTTTTGATTTTCCACTAGGCAGAGATTTGACAGTGTAACAGTAGGGAATAAATTGGAATAACCTTCTTTTCTAAAATTTGTGACATATCAGTTGTGATATAAAAGCAAGGTACGACAAAGAGTAAAACACAAGGCTTTCCCCACCTCGAATGGCTGCATACACTATTCTTACAAAAACTACATCACAGTTACTCTGACAGACCTCCAACAGCAAGTAAAGTACAACTGCACATACACTGGCTCAAAACACAAGGAGGCTGTGGCACTTTCTCAGACATTTGAGCACACCAGTTCACTAGGCTCAGACATACTTAGATTAACACTGTTTTTAGGTTTCTTTTTGGTGAGTTTTGCTCCAGTTTTTGGATACTTGTCCTTGGTATGAATGACCTGGATGTACTGGTCATTGCTGCTGTTCTGCGGATCACTGCTGGATTCAATGGAAATGGAATCAGACTCGGTTAGAGATTGCTCCAGCTTTTGCTTTGATTTTGGTTTCACACGTGGCTCAGGATAGTTCAGGTGTACTTTCTTGTAAGCATATGGAGGCCTGTCCAGGTCCAGCTCAAAACCATCATCCCAGGATTTGTAATGCACTCTGGCTAGATCTTTGCTCATTAGAACGTGGCCATCAGCGCGATCCCCAATGTAAAACCGTGATGCTGGGCGCAGGTCAGACAGCGAGCGAGGGCGATGGGATCTGTTCATGAATTCTTTCTCAAGTTCTTCTTCATCCTCCTCATCTTCACTGGGATGAGGGGAATACATCTGGTGTGGTGTCCGAACCACATATCGTCTGATGTGGCGTGGATACAGCTCAATAATGTCTCCTGATTCCTCCTTTCTGAAATGCCTTTGGAGTCGGGAGGTAGAACGGAGCGATTTTTTGCGGGGCTCATTTTCATTAACCAGAAAATACCTGGTAGCATATGGTCTACATCCCAAAAATACAGGAGCCCCAGCCCCAAGGGCATCCGAATTTACCTGCCTAATGGCTTTTCTGAAGAGAGGGTCAGAGTGAACGTCTTCAGTGTGCTTTTTGAAAGTCACTGGTGTGTAGGGCTTTGTTTTGCACAGCTCACTCGCACTCCTATGAACAACACTTGGGTATCTTTAGGAAGGAGGAAAAAGAGAAGAAGTATTGATAGACACACTTATCAATTAATGGAATTGAAACATATAAAAGAATTCACTGCTCTGGAAGTCAAAGACTAGGTTGAAAAAGTGGAGATTATCATATCTCCACTGTTCCAAATTTTTAGAACCGTTTTGAGAAACATACCCTAGAAATTAGGAGATATATTTGTACTTCTTTAGGAAAAGGTAACACAAGTGTCTTCTCAAGTTATATTCCCTTTTTGTTTTCTTACTGTTCTGGGAATTCTTTATCCACTTGGAAAAAACCCAGCAGATAGTTTAAAGCATCCATCTACTGATATGCCAGACTGGTTGTATAACTAAAGCTACATAGACATTCTGCAGAGAGTTCCTTCACTCTGTAATTGTTTCGTTCATGGAGATGGTATCCTGCACAAAGTATTTTAGTTATGTGCCTGAGGGCAAGTCTAGTATTTACCTTTGCTTGAGCTCTGTGTAAACTCCATCAGCTACATCTTTCAAAAGGTTTATAATCCCATCTCTGTTAAAGGAGAATTAAGGATGTGATATCACCAACGATACCAGTAGTACCCATGAATGAATCTGCTTTTGAAAAATTCCTCTATTGTCTTACAGCTCCAGACAGTCTGAATGCACAGCTGTTTTGTAAATAAACAGGTATGGCATGGAGCTGCTGCAATAAATACCATTTCAAAACCAAAGCAGTCTTACCTGTTTGTGATATGATCATTTCTTGCTTTCTGCACACTTGACACAGAGGGAGCTGGTGTTAAAGAGGTCGAAGTTGTGGGAGTTGCATTGGCAGGTCTCACAACATCAGTTGTTGGTACAGCTTGAGGCACAGACTGGGAAATGGTTTGTATTCTGGTGCCTTTGCTCACAGGAGATTCAAAGTTCAAGACGCTGCCATTCTTTCGGGGTGTTGAGGAGCGAACAGAAGACTCCTGGCTGATAATATCAGTTTCTTGCTCTGGTCTTTTGTCATTAGCATCCATATTTTGGATTCTGGCTAGAAAACAGAAATTAATATAGCAACATTCCAGGTCTCTACATTTAGAAACTGCTGTACAAATTCAGTGGCTTGCATTCCCTTTTCAGTTAGGGATCCAATGCCAATAGAACTCCCTATGTTCAGAAAAGAGAAACTGGTGTTACACTGGGAGACTTGGTGATAAAGGGGTAGATCTTCATACTACAGTACATGGCAGATGGAGTACTGGGGACACAGAAAAAACACTGAATATTGCACTGTAGGATCCCAAAAGAAGCAACAAGCCAATTTTTCTTCTCCCTACCAGCCTCTGAATTGCATGCAAAGTCTGAGATTATTTGAATCATAAAAGATGCATCCCAGTTTCTTCCCTGTTGGTGATAAAAGGAGGAAAATACCCAGTCCAAAGATTCCACATGAATTCAGGTTTAAACAATGCACAGTATCTTTCAGTGTTGCCAAAGTCAAACTGAGCTCAGAAACCATCTAAAGGGAAGATTCTACAGGAAATACAGTTTTAAAAAATGTAATTTTACTTCCCTATATGTATGCGAAATCAAAATGGGTTTATATCCATCCAGTGATTTGTTAATAGTGGCATTTCTAAAGGTCACCAACTTACCTACTGCCATCTGAACCACCTTCTTCTTGTCTTCAGTTCTTTCCTAAAATGCATTCAGAAGAATGAGGATTTGTAAATTATTATGGATTAGAGAATAAATCCCCCGCTCTGTAGGGATGAAAAATATAAGATTTGTTTTACACTTTGAAACACTAGAAGTAACTTTGGAGATTTAATTAGGCTCATGCTTTACTGAAGACCCCTCAAATTACATGTAAAAGTGCTTTTCACCATACTTACCGTTTGTATCTTCATTCTCAGTTGATTGTTGGTGAATTTTAATGATCTTGCAATACTTTGTAGGTAGTAGATTAGCATGCTGGAAGTGAAAGGGGTGATATGAGTCACTTCAGACATTCTTGACAGTTTCTTTTTGAGGGTTTATAGGTCAAAATGATGTACAAGTTCAGCTGCTGCTCTGTAGCATTTCCTTATATTGTAATAATGGCTTACAGCCTTCTTTCAAGCAAACATAGGTGAAAGAAATGACACTGAAAACAGATTTAACAGCAGTTCTAATTTCACCTATGTTTTTTGCAGGCATTTTCATTGTGTGTGTAACCTGGAATGCACTTCCAATTGGTTTTGGGTTTTTTTTGTTGGTTGGTTTTGTTGTTTGTTTTTTTTTTTATTCTAGACAAATAATTTTGACAGACATTGTTTTGTGTTTCTTTCCCAGTCCAAGGTTACAGAACAGGGACGCCATTGTTACAGTTGAGTTTGCACAACCATACCAATGCAATTATGTTGGCTGGCTGAAATAACACCTTGTTTACCGTGGCACAGATGAGATCAGATCCTGGCAGATTATGGCCTGGCATAATGGATTGCACTGGCTTTCAGTCAATGTCTTATAGCTAGATTTCACACCACAAACAATTACATATGTGCTTAGCTGTCAGTTTGAAGCAGTCAAAAGGAATAATTAAATTTGTAAATATTACATGGCTGGGACCTTAGAGGAAAAAGTTACAAATAAGAAGTGTTGCTTTGGTCTTTCTGATTTGAAAAGCCACCGGTGGGACAAACTCTGCCTTTGTCTGCAGTTTATACAAGAAGAAAATGGTACAAAGATACAAGCAAAACAAAATAGAACTTTTCAGAGAAGCAAAGTGAATTTCAAACAGCCCAAAATCAATATTATTTCCCAACTGTGAACAATTATTTCTAATCCAAATAAGAAAAGACTTCCACTGGAGAGTCTGCAGCAAGTTATATTAAATTAACACTTAAGAGCATACCATCATAATTGATTTATCTTGTCATAAATCAGGATGACTGAGTAGCTTCTTTAAACGACAGACTGAGCCCTGTTCACTGTCAGAAACTGAACTAATGACTATGAATAAATGGAAAATTTATTTCTAAGGAGCTCTTAAGAGAGAAGAGGTTCTTCAACTTCCTGGAGCCATCAGCACTGCAAGCCTTGACACAATGCAGTGAACATGCCCTAACAAAGTATCCCAGAAGGAGGAATTCCTTTTGACAGTCTTTTTAACAGTCTTTCACTCCTGTCTGGTCCATATACCACACATTCAGTGAGGTGTTGGAATTGTTGTTTCATTTATGCTTAATGAAACTACAACAGTGCAGTGTTTGTTCCTCAGTATCTACATCTGAGTCTCCAGAGATAAAGCCAGTATTAATACAATCAATTTAACCTGCCTACACAAACCAAAGTACTTACAATAACAGTAGCAGTGCAGGGAGGACAACCACGGGACTGCTGATGTAAGTAATCACTGTGTTGAACCATGTGGGAAAATCATTTTGAATCGTTTCAGAAACAATATCATATATTTTTTCTTGACCACTATAGGAGGTGTGGGAGGAAAAAAAAAAAGTAAAATTAAGTTGTAATGAATCCTGAGTATATTGTTAAGCAGTGTTGCACTGAATAATAAACAAGCTTGGAGGATGCTTGGATGAAGCCACAAGACAGTGATGTTTGGGAGGTTGCTCAGTGGCACATTACATTATGTAAATATAAACAAACTAAATTGTGTATATAAAGCAAATCAACTCAGAACTTTGACCTATTCACCTTATTAAACCATAAACAATAAAATATTGGTAGCAGAAAAGCATTGTCCTCTCAACTTGTTTTGAATTTACATCTGTAATTTGCGTATTATGAAACATAGTAAGTTTATTGTAAGAAGGAGAAATAAAATCTTCATTGGTCCATTATACCTTACCTGAAGGGGCCACAGCTTAAGGATGGCTTATATCGGGCAATAGCAAAAATTGTTGGTAACATGCACAAGAACAGCATAAACAGCAACATGGCCAAGTAGAAATTATTTGATCTGTAAGAAGATGTAACATGTTTCAGATTATACTTGTCAGAGAGAAAACCGGAGACAACATAAAAGGTGCAAGTCTGGACCTATCCAGTCCAAGATCAACATGTCTGAAAGATTAAAATCATTCTGCCGTAATTAGAAAGTCTGAACAGAGATGGTTTAAACAGACTCTTAATGATCAAAATTCTGTTTGCACTGCTTTCCAGATACCACTGCTGCAGCCAGAGAACTGCTTACTGCACCCTTTGACAAAAGCTGCCCTTACTGCCCAGGTGTCTTGGGGGAGAAAAAGAATAGCATCAGAAGTCTATTAATCTTAAGAAAATATTAGAAATTAATTATTATTAAGAATTAAAGATGCCCAAAATTATTTCCATTTTGAAAAAACAATTAAAATATTCATCATGATAAAAAAAATGAGGAAATTTGTTGTGCCATGCAATGGACAAAAGCAGATATTGCACAGCTTTTAAAGAGAGAAACATCAAGAAATAGGACTTGCAACAGGTAACACATATAGGTTATTGTGCTCTGCCAGATTTGTATGGAAATAAAGCATTTATGTTAGGCCATAATAGCTATTTAGGAACATTCCTTGACATATTTTTGGCTCTTGCACATCTTCAACTACCCTGCTTCACAAACCCTCCAGATTCTCATTAACTATGTCTTTTTTCCTCAGACCTTTGCTATGAGTGTTAGTGTGAAATTTGATTGTCAACTTTTAGAGCTGAAATCTCCTGTAGTTTTCTTCATATTGATGAAAGCTATTTCTCTGATTGCATTTGATTTTTTCCTTCTCTTTCATTCTCATTCTGACTCACCGAGATGCTCTGAAAACCTGCTGGTGTGGTACATTGCATGTCAGCACAGCCCAGCTCCTCAGGTACATGAGTCCAATCAACTTGAGTACATTGAATGCTGGTAAGCAAGGTGAAAAGAAAGCTCCCATCCTGGAAAAATCATATAATATCAATCATATCATATCATGGCAGTGCTCAGTGTTGCCAGAAGCCCTTTTTACAGCATAGAATAGAATAGAATAGAATAGAATAGAATAGAATAGAATAGAATAGAATAGAAGAATAGAATAAAAAAAACCCCAAACCTCACACCAGGTAAACAGATTAATAGCTCACTATTAACAGATGATCTCTTTTATATAAAAAGACTACCCTGTCAATATCCTAATTAAAAAGGTTTCATTTAAATAATCAGATTTACTTAACAATCAGCCAACAAAGGACAAGAAAAAACACATGAGGATTACATACCAGATCATTCCTTGGTTGTAGACCAAATGCAATACGTTCTCTGCAATTTTGAATTCTCCATACTCTGGCTACAAGAAGCACAGTGTAAAATGAATACCTTTATCTTAATCTTGTTTTCAGGACATTTATTAGGCACATTTGACTGAATCAGTTTACAGACAGTACATGGCCTAAAACATCCAGATCAAATACCAGTTGCTTTCAGGCAGTGGGAACACAGCAGAACGTACTCTGCAGCCAGGGATTAAACAAATTTATTCCTCTCTAGTTTACTTCACATGTTTAAGGACAAACAGTCCACAGCTTTCACACCAACACCTTCTTGCTAACCAAGTATTACCCACCGTAATTTTTTTAGAGGGCTGTGTGGTGTTGGTTACTGTTTCTTGGACCACTGTCTGCATTAGGTAAAGATACAGCTGCAGAAAAGAGGATGTGGGCAACAACTACATGCCCTGTGTGTCACCTTAGACTGTGGGAACTGCTCTATGATATTATTTAGTGAAAACCAAAAATTTTTGCATCAGAGCCATGTGAGTAGGCTTGAGAAAAACATTAATCTCAACACTTATTCTGTACCCTCCAATTTAAACTCAGTGTGAGCTGTGCCTTTCTAGACGTGTGCTACCGAGAAATTATTCATCTGCAGAAAGACTTTAAGGACATTTAATACTGAGGGAAGGAGCCTACCCATCTTCAACATCTTAGCTTGATAAAATAAGGATTGTACTTACAAACTTGCTTTCTAGATCCCAGCACCAGCAATCACTCAGATACCGGACACACAGTCCACGGAAAAAATCAATTAGCAGGATGCTTGCAACTGTGAAAATCATGTCGATAATTGAAAGCTTGAGCATCTCCTGAAATACACATTGTTCACACATACTGAGTCATTCTGAAAGCAAATGGACTGCATATGGCTATTTTGCATTTGCAATTGTATTTTTGGCTCAAGCTCAGTATTCTGATAAAATATGAATTGAATATATGAATAATTTCCTTTTAAAATTTTCCTGTTTGACTTTTCCCTTTATTGTCTTTGTTCTGTTAAAGAGAATAAATATAATCAAGCTTCCAGAGTGCCTTCTATTGCTTGCAGCACCAAAATTCTGGTCATGATGGTATCAAACTTTCTTTTTAATGACTTTCTTTTTAATGTTCTAAAAATATATCTAGCTAAACTGAAATGGGTTATTTTTTCTACTGCACCCATTCTTTTATTAAGCTGACTCTTGTAGTATGTATTTGCAGAGTCTCTCACAATGAGAAAAACCTTATTATTCAGACAAACCCACAACTCAATGGCACAGGATCATCACACCATAAAAAATAGTTGTTTTGTGCTTACATAAGAATGTGGTCATCCTATATTTAACTGAGCTTTAAAAATATACAATTGAAATAGGAAAAATTCAGTTCTATACATCTCTAGGCCATTCTGGGAAAAAAACCCAAACATTCAAACTCTATTTCCTATGAGATTGTGCAGAAAGGATATACAAGAACAGAAATCAGGCTAATAAACCTCAGAGGGGTCTTTTCCTCCTGATATTCAAACAACACCTTTAATATTCCTCATTCTGGAACAAGAAGCTCAGAAAATCAGAGGCACACTAACATGGTTCTTAATCCAGTGGCCTAGACATGACTGTGACACTGTCAGAGACCACAGTGACATCTTCTGCATTTTTGTGGTTAAAATTTCTCTCTGAATGTATTAGTGCCCCTAGAAGTCACAAGCAATGTACCCTTCACATGTAGGGAAGGAAGAGGTGTCATATTAAATCTGCAGATTTTCTGCGCCACAAATGTGGGAACATGGTACTGCCATCCAACTGTCCCCATTCCCACGAACTGATGGGATTTTGAAACCATTTGTTGTTCTCTCTCCCTCTGAAAAAGTGAAGAGCACTTGATTGTCTAGAGATTTATTGAGGCAGAAAGAATAGAGACTTCTGATACTGTAAATGACCAAGAGCACAATCTCTTGCTTGTTTCAGGTCTGCATCTCCATCTCTTGAGGCAGCAATCTGAATCTGCACAGAGTGCATGTTGCTGCTTTTATGTCTGTATAGTCTTGTTTCTCTGTAGGGCTTAGAAGGATATACCCTGTTAAAATAGCATCCATATCACAGATCTGCACAGATCTGCCTGTGCAGAGCTGAAGACAGAGACCAAACCTGGGAAAAGAACATTTGGACAGCACAAAACATACAGTAGATATTGAACAAAACCCAAAGCTTGTATCTGTGGGCATAGCACTTTGCACAATCTTTACTCTTCCTACATCATCCTTAGCTAAATTCTGGAATTTATACAAAGTTCTAAAATCAAACACAGCACAACATGATTTTAAGTTTTTCAAATGTTAATTATGTAAAGTAAGTTGATGACAATAAAAAAATTACATACTTGACCAACATATGTCTCCCAGCACTGATCCTGTGGGTTCTGGGTGTTAAAGGAAATTGTCTGGTTAACCAGTGAGTCTGTCAGGCCTTGGGTGCGATGCTCTTCTAATGTGACAAAGCCATTTCTCTTAATTTGTACACCAGGAATGGTTAAATTGTCATCCTTAGAAAGAGTGTTAGTTGCTAAGGAGGTGGTAGAATTACTTGCATTGTTGTTCACATCAGAGTCCTGAAATAATAAATGTCCCAAAAGCTACTTTTTAACTGTACATTGGTGCAGATGTCTGCACCTTCTACAGCATAAACACACACACACACAGATATATTTTCATATATTTCCAAGCAGCAGTTAGGCAACTGTTAAACAGCTGTCAATGGACAGAGTCAGATGGAACACCAAATGGCAGAACTTAAAGCTAATTTAGGTAGGTGGAAATATTTGATCTACAGTGATGAGTTTGGGGGTTTTTTTTCAATAATTCAGCAATGCAGAGAAATCTATTTATCTCATTACATCAGCAACCAAATGAATCCAGTTATCCTTAAAAACTAATTAAAAAGACACTATAAGTAGTTGTAAATAAACATTACTATCTAAACTTAACTTTACAATCCTATCAACCCATAATAATTTTAATCAATTTAAAAAAAATTCATCTAACTTCATACACTTCACAATAAACAGAATTCTTCTATGAAGTCTACTAGCTTTATACATCTGAAAACATCAAGTGACTTACAGTGACACTCATACTGTCCACTTTATCCAGGAGGGCAATGATTAAACTGTAGAGGTTTCCCAGGTATAGGACAAGAACCCTGAAAAGAGAATAAAATAGGGTTAGCAGCACTGGTCACCCTTGACTTCTCATACGTTCTCTGGTTTGGCTGTGCTACAACATGAACCACAACACAGCTCTCCGTTCCTCCTTTTCTCTCCAGATATTTTTTACACTGAGTAATGCCCATACCTGGCAAGCTGGAAGCGAAGAGTGGTCCTTGGATGGTACATCTCCAGAGCTGCCACAAGTTCAAAAGCAGAGGGTGCAATCATTGTGATCAGTGACACAACTACGCTGACCTGTGGAACAGAAACACGCGGTGTTTGGTGAGAGTCTTCTGTGGAATCTTGAGGGCTGATTGAGATACTGCTGAGGCACATGCTTTGGTGATTGCTTTTCTTGGAGGAGATGCTTTAAGAAGTTATTATTGACATTAGTAATGACAGTAGTTATGATAAAAATTTATAGATTTGGAATACCACTAGGGAGTCTTTACTCCAGATATTGTAGCTTCCAAGTTCTACTTTATTAATTGAAATGAAAAGTTATCATGTAGGAAATATGGTGCTAGCATCTCCCTCTGGAATGGGTGAGTGGCTTCTTCATGTGCCTATTTACTTCCTACTCTCGCTCATTCCTCTAAGTGGAAATAGTCACAGAACTTTCAGTATCCCCTGATACTGAATCAGTTACTCTTATCAAAGTCAATTCCTTTCTAGTCCATCAGCCCAGTGTTTGGTCAGCTCTGTCCTGGATGTAAAAATAGCTTTGTAAGTGACAGGAGGGATTAAACTTTGTGCTCACATATAGGGACCTGCTAGAACTGCAGTGTCTGTGGAAGGAGCAGCTGCACCCCACTCTGCCCAGTTCAGCTGTGCTAACACCTGGCTGCAGAGCTGAGGGAGCAAGTGCACCGAGGCAGATCCAGGTCTGCCAATTCCTCATTTCTCCTGGCACATCTCTTGCTATTTACACATCTAAGCACACTATTGCTGCAGAAAGCCCCCAGACAGCAATCCTGCTTCTAACACAGAGGTGGCATAAAGACCGTGTACCTCATTTTTTTCCCAGAGAGTCAATTCTTTCTTGGTGCGCTCTAACCTTTGGGATCGATCCACCACAAAGTAGATGATGTAAATACTTCCTGCAAGGGACAGGAGCACGAGGATGTTTGCAATAATTCTTAAGCTTATGGTCACTGCCCTAGGAAAAAAAGAAGGTACAACCATTACAGCAGGTTGTCTTATGACACCTGGGAAATTTCTAGCAGGGTTTGGAAGTACAAGACAGGAGATTAGCACTGATATCTGCATTGAAACAGTGCTTTGAAAAGTTTCTCTTATCTCATATACATACAAGTTTTTGCTTTTCTTCTTTTCCTGCTCTTCCAATATAGCTTCCTTGAAAGAAACACAGCATTACCATTTTAATAATGTTCAGCCAAAATAATGCACATATATATTTCACAGAAATTGAAGCATACCAAGAAAAAACCATCACATCCTGGAGGTGCAAGCAGATAAATACTACTGTCCTCATTAATTTGTAGCACTGATATGTGATATTAAAAAGTGATAGAGATTTCTGAGAAACAAATACACTCAGGCACTTTCAGCTATGCATGCTTAAGGAAATACAACAAGGGGATTACTCTTCCAGATTTTTTGGCAGGATGTGCCTTTAAAATCTGGGTGTCACTAATGTAATACAGTACTGTCAAAGGTTATTCTTAGTCATTGAAATAACTAAATATCATAGCTTATTAATTTACCTGCTGCACAATTTGAAGTAATTTTTGTTCAATGATAATAAGAATACACCAAATTTGGGAAATAAGTTATTTTTGATAAAACCACATATGCTCTTAAATTCTAGATGGAAAATATCTATATTTTTAACAGTTTTCTATTATTGAGACACCTGTAATATGTCCCTCCATTTGTTTTGGAGAAATTAAATAAACCATAGGACCATAAAATATCTCAAGTTGGAAAGGACCCATAAAGACCATTGTGCCCAACTTCCTGATAATCAGAGGGATACATAAAACTAAACCATTTCACTAAAAGCATCATCCAGATGCTCCTTGGAGTCCAACAGGCTTGATGCCATGACCACTTCCCTGGGGAGCCTGATTAATAGCTGATAAAATAAAGAAGAAAGAACAATAAACGGTGTGCAGAAATTTATAAACCAAAGAGAGAGATATAAAACTTATTATCATGTAAAAAAGCATCTTGTAAAATATGAGCTGTTGTACATGGATGCCCTGAGGCATAAAACTCTGCCTTTGCATAAAAACAATTATACATTCTATAAATTTGTTTATTTTCCTGCCAAAGCAATTTGATTCCAACACTCAATGAAATTTCATCATTAACAGGTTTGTTTCTGGTTATCTAACTTCTTGTCACACATACAGGCACATCAAATAAAACTCTCCCAAGGAAGGACACAATGCCCTTGCTAGGATGGCAGCAATTATGTTGTGTCTGTAATACCACACAGATGTGATACTAGCCCTCCCCTAGGCAAATAGATATGCAAATAAATACAAAAAAACAATAGGAAGTGCAAGGGGATGAGTGGAAAAAATGGCTTACAGTTTAACAAGTAAATCAACTTGAAATAATTCAAAGGTCAGTTGCTCACCCTGATGCTGTTGACTATGGCTGCAGCTTTGCTCTCTGCAGCCTCAGGGTTTCCTATCAAATAGTCCCAAGCACAGAAAAGTCTCCAGCAGAAAGTGTAATTTTCATCAGAGGCACTTGCTAAACTCATTCTTGAGTTCTTTGCCATTCTGTAAAAAAATAACAGGTATTTGACTGGTTCTGGTGTGTGAAGTTGGTAATGAAGGAAGTCACTGGTTTGGTTCATGGTTTTCAGAGGTTTATACATTTAGAGCTACCAAAGGTTGCAGAAATTAGTATCACTGTTGGGAGCTTTCTGAAGAACATAAAACAGGGTGAGGTGCAGCTCATGAACTTGACTTTACATTTAGAGATAAATGACTCACTGTGGAAGGGCATTTCAATATTTACAGTCTTTACAACTGACAAATAAAACAAATAAATCTTACTAACTGTGGGCTTACACCTATTTCTGTTTTATAACCTCTGGGTAGGATCCAGCTGAAATATATAATCACTAAGATCATGGTTACAAGAATTAAATCTAGTTTGGCATAACTAGTAATTGTGCACAGGATCTGTTTGTTTGCTGTACTGTTTTAAACCTCAAAATATATATTGCTGTCACATAGAAACCCAGGGCCATTTTACAGACCTTGGAAAAAAGAAAGAAAACCCCTCCTACTCATGTCAGGTGAGCAAGGTGGCAGAATATTGCAAAACATAGGAAATGAAATGAAGATTAATAGCTTATGAACGAAAGGGCATCTGAAAGGACAATGTTAAAGGGAAGCTGCACACAGCTAAGCAAAGGATCACTGAGCTAAGTCAGAAGAAAAGCTGATCCTATCTAGAAATTGCAGATGTGTAGTTCAGTGTCAAATATACCAGTGACCCTTGGCACAAACCAGCAGGTAGATTAAAAATAAATGAAAAGGGAAGGTTTGACCTCAAAACTGAGAGCTATTACAGACAGCACTGAAAACATCCCTGGACTGCACTGTGCCAGATGAATAGGTATCCAGAAGGGAAGAGAAAACAAATCAGGAGAGGATAGAGTGACCTTGCCCCTACAAGCACTGCACATCCCTGGATTTATGGTCAGCACAGGCAGTCTTGCTCTCTCTGCTGAGTAACTCCTACTCCTTCCCCTCCACAGCAAAGAAATTAAGCTTACATTCCAATGGGATGCCACGTACCCACTAAAGCAATGCAAATCATATTGCACCTAGGATGGCACTTTTATATTTGTATTTCAATAGATGGGAATATTAATAATGCTGAAAGCATTACACTTCAAATATAAATTTCTGTCGTAGCAATATTTATTGCAGAAAAGAGGGAAAAGGACTTCCACGGGTGTTGGGTCTTAAACTGCACCAAGACAAAGCACACAGATGGTCTGTGCTGCCCTTCTTTCAAAGGCTGGGAAATGGAACAGAGAGTGAGAATTACAGCAAGATAAAGGGCAATCTAGAGTTAAACTCAGTCTGCTTCCATGGTATTAGAGAGGTGAGCATGTTAATAGAACTACACAGAATAAATACAGAGGAAGTGGAGTAAATACCATTGCTGACTGCCTGAGCACACAGATTTATGAACAGCAGTAAATGGGCAGTCTTACTTTTTTAGAAGAATGATGAAGCTGTAAGCAAACACAGCCATTCCAACAAGGAAGTAGGCAAGAGGCAGCCGGTATCCAGCTTTGCCAATCTTCCTGTCCCGACCATAATAGCCATAAAACAGGACAGAGTACTGGAGGTAGCCCTGCAAAGACCAGAGCCTGTCAGTAACCAACAACTACAACAGAACAGTGACAGCAAAATAACAAGGAGTGGTTTGAGTCTTGCCCCTAGGGACCAGATGGTGTCCAGGTCTTGAGCAGATGCAATGTGCTCCTTGGGAATGGTCTTGCTGAGCGTGCTGCCGAACGGGGCTCCGGCCAGGAGCTGCGGGAGAGAGAGCAGGTCTCAGGAGATGGGAAAGGGAGCAGGTCTCAGGAGATGGGAAAGAGAGACGAGGTCTCAGGAGATGGGAAAGAGAGCAGGTCTCAGGAGGTGGGAAAGAGAGCAGGTCTCGGGAGATGGGAAAGAAAAAGGAGATCTCAGGAGATGGGGAAGAGAGGAGGTCTCAGGAGCTGCACGAGGGAGCAGGTCTCAGGAGATGGGAAAGGGAGCAGGTCTCAGGAGATGGCAAAGAGAGGAGGTCTCAGGAGATGGGAAAGGGAGAGGAGGTCTCAGGAGATGGGAAAGAGAGAGGAGGTCTCAGGAGGTGGGAAAGAGAGAGGAGGTCTCAGGAGGTGGGAAAGAGAGCAGGTCTCAGGAGATGGGAAAGGGAGCAGGTCTCAGGAGATGGGAAAGGGAGAGGACGTCTCAGGAGCTGCACAAGCCCATCTGAGCCAGGGCTGCACAGTGGAACCCATCAAGAGATGCCCACATGGGTGGTGCTCTCAGGGTAACACGTACCGTGTCAGCTTTAAAAGCCATGCTTTCAAATGGGGAAATGTTTGATCTCAAAATGATAATTCAGGATTAAATTTACTTTTCCTTAAATATTAAAAAGTGAATGTGAATACCTTTTTTTTTTCTTGTTTACTTTTTATTTATTTGAAAGTATTTAATTTTTATTTTGTGCAGTGAGAATAAAATCAGGTATTCCCATGTTTTCCAATAGCACTATTAAAGCACAGGGTAGGTGAGGCAAAATAATATGTATGGATAATTTAACAAAGTTAACAAATTGCCTTATTCATCTGCAAGAACTAAACAAAGTTGTGGCTGTTCAGAACTTGTAGGAAATACTTTCTAATGGACAATAATCCAGAGTCTAGAGAGGGATCTTTTGTTTTTCTTAGTGTCATTTACACTTCTCATTAGTGTAAATTACACTAATAGGACTTAAGTGTACTCAACACCCACTACATCTTTTAAGAATGGGTTCTTTATTTTAGTAATCAGATAAAAACATATTCTCTAAAAACATTAGTACCATGTTGACAAAATACAACCTCGAACGCTAATAGAAAAAATCTGTTATCCTTTGGCAGAGAAAAACCTCTTAATAAGGGAATTTATTTTAAATAATTCATTTTACAGTGTACATTTCAAACAGATGCATGACTTAAAGTGTGGTGTTTGTTCCATTGAGAAAGGAAAGTTCAGCAGTAAGTGCTTCTCTGTAAATACTAACAGTGTGTTCTTACCTCTGGTAGGACTACAAATGCTCCTGTCATTATGGTGAGGACAATATTGATCCCAAACAGCCATCTCAGGAAGATGAAGTAAGAGGCAACTCCAGACCCAAAATGACCTTAAACCACAAAAAACCATTATGTGACCTGCACAGTCTATAAAAGCTTGTATCATTTATCCATGAAGTAATTGAATAACAGACCAAAAAGAAAAACCTCTCTTATGGAGGGCATTCAGCAAACTAGAGACTTTTTTCATTTTCAGAATCTCAAAGGGACAAAATTGATTTTTTCAACAGTTACCCCTCAACTAAGACCATGAATGAGAACTGTGCAGTTTCTGAGGCACCAGGAAAAGATGAAAAAGCTAAGTTTTAAATAAAGAATTAACTGCTGAAAAAATGCATTTAACTCCCTCCCAAATATTTAATTCAGTACATTAAAAATACATCATAAGACTCAGTGTTTTAGCAAGTGTTTTACAAATACCATGAAATCTTTATACTTACTCTCGATTTTCTTTATTCTCATTTCCCAAGGAATAAATATTACCACAAAATTGTATGCAAGTCGAATAAACTTCTTCCAAAGCTGAGAAAAAAAAGCAGAGAAATATGACACTTCTTCACATGAAAAAAATATTTTAAAATGAAGTGCTGAGTATTGTGCTCATGTCTTATATTTTATCACAATAATTGTTACAAATATTGATGAATAAGGTCTTACTAGGAGCATGATGCCTCAAAGGAAATTCTCTTAGAGAAAAAATACACTTTTTTTTATTCAACAGCAGCAAATTTAACTACTTTATTCTCAGCTCTCTGTTGTGCAGCCAACACCTGCAGAAATCCTGTGGTTATATTTTGTAGAGTCTTTATTCAGACTACATTTTTGCATGGTCAGATGCTCTTCCTGCACACACATGGGGGAGAAAAAATAAAATCCACCTGTGCAAAAATGAGAGCAGTTTTTGAGTAGTGTTAGAGCTATAACTTTAAAGTATCAACAGGAAAAAAAAATGTATTCCAGGAATTATAAAGTATTTTTAGTACAGCTAGATAATAAAATCCCACCTATATTTTAGGCATTTTTAATAGCACTGTCAATATTCTATCATATAATTTGATTTCCTAAAATTGAAGAGGAGTAAATAAAATTTTAATTACTGAAAACATAATCAGTCTCTTTGGCCAAACTTAATTAATATTTATGATGATATGGACTTTTAATTGCATAAATGGGAAGTATTTTAAATAAAGAAATTTAGATGCTGAGAACTGCATGGGAATTGCTGGGATTGCAACTTTCAGTGCAGGGTTCACAGAGCTGAGAAAGGGCTCAAGCACCTTGTGCCAGCTGCACTACAGATTTAGAAAGAATAACAAGGTGTCCACAATGAAGCAAAATTTACTAAAACTATCATTTGATAGCTATCATCTCTTTTCCTCCCTGCTATGTTGTTGAATGGATAATTTACACTCTTAGAACCCAGAGTATGGGCATCTGGCTTTAACTGGGGAAAATAAACCCAAAATACAGCTACAAAGAAAGTGTAAATCTTTTCCTCCCTGCTATGTTGTTGAATGGATAATTTACACTCTTAGAAGCCACAGTATGGGTATCTGGCTTTAACTAGGGAAAAATCCCCAAAAACAGCTACAAAGAAAGTGTAAAAGAAGTGAATTGAAAAAAAGAAAATGGCTTTCAGTGTCAAGATAGTAAAAATGTATTTTACCTTCAATTTTCATAAATAATACCGTGAGTGGACTGTCCAATCGTGAACACTATCTATTTTGCAAATTAAAAAAAAAAAAACTTGTGTAAAAATTGAAAAAAAGAAAATGGCTTTCAGTGTCAAGATAGTAAAAATGTATTTTAACTTCAATTTTCATAAATAATACCATGAGTGGACTGTCCAATCATGAACACTATCTATTTTGCAAATTTGAAAAATTTGTGTAACTACATATACACCTAGTAGCTGCATTTTGTCCTTAACTCATGTTCAAGCACTGAGTTCTTAATTTTGATGATATAGTGCTTGTTTTGCTGTGCTACAGTTTTTGTCTCCTTGGTCACCATGCTATTTTCTAAGAAAATATGTGGGGAAAAAAAATCTCTTCCAGTTAAAAAAAGGCACTGAGTTCTTAATTTTGATGATATAGTGCTTGTTTTGCTGTGCTACAGTTTTTGTCTCCTTGGTCACCATGCTATTTTCTAAGAAAATATGTGGGGAAAAAATATCTTCCAGTTGAAAAAAAAAAAACAAAACCAAAATAAAAACCCAAAACCAAAAAACCCCAACAAGAACAAAAAAAACTCCATACCAAAAAAAGGCTGAATTCTGTTGCTGTTGCTGAATTTAGCCCTAATGTAAAGGCTATACCCCTAATTTGTGCTAGGATAAAAGAATACAGACCCCCTACATGTAATGAGTGGCACTAATTAACTGCTGAATTACATCCCTGTGCTGAATGTCTTCAAGCAAATACAAATACAACAAAGGCAATTAGATTAGACACAAACTTTTATTCACTGTGAACTCTAAGCTAAAAGCTTTTGGGTTTGTATAGGAAGAATTGTATGAGCAAGCACTGAGCCCAATCTCTGATTTACTGACATTCTGATTTAGCACTTCTCTTTCTAGCTACCGTCCTAGTTCCTCTCATATCAAAGGCAAAAAATAGTGTTCATTTTAACAGCATTTTTACTTCCACTGCATTTGTCACACATACAAAGGCAGAACAAAGAAAACTTACTCTTTCTACGTTGGAAAGTGCTTCTGGGACCAGCATCTCAGAGCACCAGATACAAGTGCAGCTCTTCACTCATTCACATGAATAAAATGCATGGTGTTCTGTTGGCCTAACCCTGCCTTTTTGAACTAAGATATATTAGTAATTAAAAGTGAACTTGTTATGATGATAAAAATATTCTTGACTGCTTAGATCACTAAAGAAGTCTTCTGTTGGTTGCTTATTAAATACAATTTCCTGCATATTACAAATTTCCAGAAACTCAGGCCAGTGTCTGTTTTCAGTGGTGTAAATAGATTTGCTAAGATTTGATTCAAATTCTCTGAATATAATGCAAGCAAAACCCCTTTTTTAATGATGAATTTAATATAAGCTATTGTAGGATTGTCTTCCAAACTAAAAGCTAGACACATTTTTCATACAAAGCTGTTGAACTGTGGCACCAGTTTGCTGAAATAGCTCTTCAGAGGATATTACATGATGTTTGTTGTTATCCCTTTCACATCACCCCTTCTAACAGGCATCAATATTTGCAGGCTGTCTGAGAAGAAAGCTTATACTGCATTAACAGAAGGATATTCATCCATCAACACATGAAATTAGTCTGCAAAAATGTAATTACTAAAATTACAATAAAAAAAAAGAAGAAAAGAAAAAAATAAGCTTTTAACTGCTTTTTTCTCTCCCTACGCTCCCGAGCTGAAGTATCAGGAGTGCAGAGCCAACACACACTTCTCTGAATCAGAACTGCAAATGGCTGTTGGTGGGAACAAGAAATTTGAGAGATTTGAGCGCAAGCAGCCATACCTCTGCCCCAGCAGCCTGGTAACCTCTGGTTCTCGTGAGCCTCCCCTCGTACTTCAGCACGATCTCCTTGGCCTGCCTGCGCGAGAGGGGAGGGTCAGCTCTGCATGGTCCACTGCTCACAGCTCTCATTCTGCCCAAACAGCATCCACCAAAGGGCTCAAATGCTCTGAAATACAGCCATGGGCTGTCCCACCATCAGCCCCTAACCCAGGCAATGCTTTTTTCTCTGCCTATTGAGCTTTTTACTGATACTTTAAAACCACTCAGAATTTTGTCTGAGGGAACTCGGCATTCAAGAGTTTGATGGCAGGGAGAATTTTCTGTTCCTCTCATTTATTTCTCATTTGTTTCAAAGTCTGGCTTTTAAAATGGTAGAACCCAGATGAGTAAAACAGCAAGATCCCCTTTACAGTCTGGCAATCTCCTGTGGATACTGACACCTCTTCTGCAGGTATGGTCTTGTGAGATGCAAAGAGGTGCATGCTTATCTGGTCATACACAGTCTTTGACCTCAGCAGAAGGTGGATTGGGACCACCTGATCAAAAGGAACAGGAAAGCACGAAGTCACAGACTCTGCCTAAGAAAGAAAAACCTCTCTTTGCTTCCCAGATTACACAAGGGCTCTTGGTAGGGTAGAGATTCCTCATGGCTACATTGCCATCTGAGCACCATACAGGGTTTGAAGAGAAAATTCCAGATGAAAAGGGCAAAAAAACCCCCAAGCATCACACAGATCATGAGGTGAAAAACCTGACACGGTTTAGACAGATGGCCCGAAGAGTTAGTCACATGCTCTTTCATTGGAAATCTGGCATTATAATAATTGAAATCCTAAGCTGTGAAACATTTTACCACACTGACCATACTTTTTAAGCTTACAAGTGTTCAGTATTTACTGCATTTACAGTATGTTACCTGAAGCCATGACCAGCTTCTGTTCTGATACCATGTACTTACCTTAAAAAGGCAGGCTGCTTCTCCTTTTTGGGACATAGTGAAACAATTTAACTTAAAAACATGTTATGGAGCATTACCAACAGCCTTCCTTGAGACCACTGAATAGCTGACAGTCTCTTTTAATACTTCATAGCCAAAGCATGATTTCTTGCTCTCTTTTCTGCTGTGACTTTCTAAAGGGAGCACCAGAGACAACTTCACTTACAGACTGCTCACCCAGAGGCTGCTGCCTTTGGTCAGCCCTCAGATCTTCCCAGAGCATCCCCATGGAACACTTTCCTAGCAGCTCTAAATCATTCCTGTGCTCACTCCCGAGGCTGGAAGTGCTGTGACAGTGAGTGAGCCTGAAAATCTCTGCACAGGCACCTTTACCTGAGCGCCCTCAGCTTCTGCCGCATGGGCCACGGCCGGCAGCGGATGTTGGACATGATCTCCTTCTGGTACTGGATGTTCTGAAAGATCTGCTCTGGGTCATGGCTCTCAGCCTTCTCTTCACCAGCGTCGTCATCCGAGTTGCTGGCAGCCCAGCACACGCCCCATGAGAGCAAAAAGGAGACAAGTTATTCCTGTGGGATTCCCAGCAAAGCGTTGATTTGCACAGGATCCGACCTCGTAGAGCATTTTAAGAAAAAGGGAACTCACAGGACCTTATTGCTTTAAAGTTGATTAATAACTTGAATGGTTTCTCCATCTCCAGGACATACCTCTTTCCCTCCCCACCACTTGCTGGTCAGTTATAAATTATCCCCACTCCTGATGAATCCCAGTCTTGCTTCCCGAGCATTTCCAGCCATTCAGCATGTACATCATGCTAGCAAGACTCTGTATATTTTTCTGGAACAAACTTCTGTCTAAACATTTCCAGAAAGAGCAGATAACATCCATTTATTAATCATAGCCATTATTTTTATTTCAATAATGATAAAATGTTTTATTTCTAGAATGAGGGGAGCAGGTGATTCAGTCATGGTCACCATTTAATTCTATTCCCTGCTGAGGGGCACAGGGGTGTGGGACCCCACATACCAAGAATTACTTGTCCCTGTGAAAAGATTCCTGTGTTTTGATGGTTATGAAATCATCTTTTCTGATGCTGTCACCACATTTGCTAAGCTATAGTTCTTGCAATTCCCTGTTGGTCTGTGAAATAGCAGCAATATTCATTCTTACAGAGGCTTAGGTCTAAAAGCCTGTGGTGGCTGTTTCTCCCTGAATGACACAAAGGGATCTGAAGTACTGCAGCAACCACCAGCCAGGAACTTTCCCACTTGTATGGCTGTGTACATGCTGGGAAAGTTCCCTGCAATTTTCCCGAAAAGGCAGCCTTTTAATCACTTAGAAATAAATCATAACCTAAACCATGACATGGAATAATATTTGGGGGACACACTTCATCAGACCACTAATCCATTAGTCTTCAGTCCTGTCCCTTCAGTCACAGGGGACATTCAAAGGAAATTTATAATTACACAGGAAAAGAATGAGAGAATTCTTACCATGCTGTAAAAGAATGCTGAATTCTTACCCTGAACTCTTTGGAGTTACTTTGCTTTATGTACAGTGTTTATGTTTCAGTATGAAATGTGACTTTGACCAAAAAGAGACAAAAACAAAGAGGTTTGAAATACATCTTAAAACACAGAGAAGGATTTTTCTCATGCTCATTTCCACGCTACCACACTGTAACTCAAACCAGCCTACCTTCCCCAGTCTGACACACTGTCTGTGCAGAAGTGAAAAGACAAGCTCCCACTGCTGTGCTAGACAAAGCAGACTGTCCCTGAGGAGAGGGCAGCTCCCTTACCTGTGGGGAGGCTCCTGGTAGGTGTAGATGCCGCTTTGCCGCTTCACCGTGCGCTGCTTCTTGCAGGGCTTGGCAGCTCTGGGCGCAGGGGAGCCCTGTGCTGCTGCCATGCTGCCAGGTGGGACTCTGCAAGGCTGGCAGCAGCTTGGAGCTCGCTGGGCAGGCGTCTCAGCAGCAGCCAAATGTTATTAAGCAGAGAGAGCGTGTGCTGCGAGCCCTGTGGAGCAGAGGATCATTGCCTGGTGCTCCAGCCTGGAGAAAGTGCTGCTGCCTGGCAGTGCCTTAAAGCCACAGCACACAGCAGCCCCACCACTGCCCCTCGAAGGCCAGATCAAGGTGGGAAGAAGAGTTCAAAGCTGCAAGCCTCAATTCACAGCCAAGTTTCCCTTGTTGTGGATGAGGAACATCCCTCTGAGTGCCCCCCAGCACACCGCACTGGCCAGCTTTGGGTGGTGCTGCCAACAAACACCCTGTGGGTGCTGTTGATGATTCTGCTTCTTGTGCTGGACACAAGGACCTTGCTCAGGAAAAGCAAGATGGTGTTTTGGTCTTTAGCAACAGAGAAACATGCAATGTCACTGTCCCACTGGGCTTCCAGTTTAGTAGTGAGGAGTACCCTGACACCCTTTCTATGGTCAGCACCTCTGTGATGCTGGGCTTGGTTGCCAGGATAGAATAAACTGCTCCAGGTTCTGCTGGGGCCAGGGAAGTGAATTTTTAGTGTTGTTCTCCATCAGAGAAATTACAGATATTCTGGTGTCATTATTAAAACACAGCAAAACAGACCAAAATTACTAAATATTAGTGGTTCCTGCAGCCATAATTTGATGCTCAGAAAGTGGGACTGAAAGGGAGAGTTTGAAGAGAGTTTTTACTTGTTCCTAACTTGGTATTTTCTCTCCTTAATAGCTCTGCACACAGTGCAGCAACAATTTTGATTGCATAAATCAATGGTCTGTTGTAGTTAACTTTCCTTTGCAGCGTCTCACAAAAAGAACATTTAGTTCTTGCTTCTAAATTTCCTGTAGACAATAGCACAGGCTGCTTTTTCTCTCCATCCTGAATTAATCCAAAATATTGCCACTTGGTGAAAAGTTTTACTTTTTTACTGTCTATTGTCCTAGACTTATTCAGTTAAATAACTGAAGGGCTAAGTGGTCACAAGCCTTATTTTTTGTTACAGTACTGAAAGAATAAGTCCATTTGGGGTAATTCACTGAATTTCTGAGATGACAAGTAAGGAACAGATAAATATAAGTCTGAATTTCCAAAATGTATCTCGCAATGAAGAGTTTTCTTGCTGGGTGAAGCCTCCCTAGAAATCTGGGAGTTCCATTAGCAAAAATCAGAATAGTAAAGAAATGCCCCTATTCAGAGTTCAGCTGTATTCTGCACCACAGAATGTGTCATATGGATGACTATTAAAGCCTGCTAAAACCCACTTACTATGTGGGGCTTTTTCTGTGAACTGAACTCGCTAGTCCCAGCTTCATGCTGAGCATCTCTTGCACCCACCTCCTTTAGCCCCAGTAGAGACTAAAGACTCTGGACTCCAGCTTACCATAGATGGATCACAGAAAAAATTACTTAATTTACTTTTTTTCTGTACTGTATTTTTTTTTAATTTTAAGTCTGTAAAATGAAGGCTGTTAGAGCTTTGACATCTCAGTCTTTCTGTACCACTCCTAAATCCACAAACCTCTGCATGGCTTTCCTACTTGGCTTCCAGTTCATATGACAAAGAAAACATCCCACTACCCTCTCTCTGTCAGGCCATTCATCAAGTGAAAGCAAACAGCCAAAAAGAATAGATATCAGCCCAGAAGCACATCTCGACTAAGTCTTATCACCTCTTCCTAGCTGGAAAAACAAAAGAGCTATTCTGGATGCCAGGAACGCCCTTTAGAGCTTTGATGCTCAGAGAACTGCAAACACACCCACATCACCACCTTTTTTGACATGCCACAAGATAGATTTTCAGTTATCTAATTTAAAAGCAGGAATATGTTAGTTCAAATGTCTTTGCTTGGCTGTAGTTATTTTCCTTTGAATCTCACTCAGTGGCACAGCACTGGGGGCAGGTTCTGCTGCCTTAGCTCATGAGGATAAGTGTCCCTCTGCCCAGGCCACTCTACCACAGTCCGTCAGCTCCCTGCTTATTCCAGCTATGTGCATCAACAATAATCTCATGTTGCAGATAAACACTCACCCAAATGCCCCAAAAGCAGGTTTTGACACAGTAATGGCCTGAATTCCCCAGACATAAGCTAGATCTCCAAAATGTGCAGGAGAGAAACACAGATATCTCTCCCTCTGTACTACCATTCCTGCCTCATAGTTTTCCTTGAGATTTTAGATGTTTACTTTTCATCTGAAGGAATCATACTGGAGAGATTAAAATCTAACATCATCTATCATTCCTAGAGATTATTCTATTTCACCAATAAAACAGTATTCTTTAATGTCATGATGTTACAGCACTACCAATCCCATTAAAACACTAACATGACTGATTTACATGGATTTAATTGGCTAGTGTATGCTAATGTGTCAACAAGGCAGACAAATTTTGTTCCACTTTGTTAGAAGAAAGCTGAGAGTCTAAAAAAAACAAAGGGACAATTTAAAGCTGACATTTATACAGCTCTAATAGTGCCAGTGCTTGAGGCACATACATCATGAGAAGTTACTACCAAACACTAAAAGCACAATGAGCAGCAAAAGACTAATGAATTCTGAGCCCATCTGAGAGAAGGATGCAGGGAAAATGGAAAGCAGGCTTCAAGGGCTTAGCTCTGAAGTTGGCAATACCCTCTGTTGTCCATGATTCCTGCAGCAGCCTCTAAAGAATTCAAGTGTTAACTCAAATCACAAAGAGGGTTTTGGTTTTGCTTTTCAACTCAGCCAGCAGTTCAGCAACCAGAACACCCAGCTGCCCATTTCAATCTGCTCTATTGAAGCCAGAAACCTACTTGGGTTTGTTTTAGTCTGAGTGAATACTACAGGGGTTATAGATTTGATTTCAATTGCTATTAACAGGATGTAAAACAGGACATTAGCCTTTTACTGCAAAACTTTCAGCTCTGTGTGTAATAGGAAGACTCACATTTGATCCATAGGATCATTTTGCATTTCCAAACACTTACCCAGGAAAGAGCTGGGCTGGTGAGCTCTGCTTACTGACAATTCAAGGAAAGTGGGCTTTATTCCTTCCATTATGCTCTGTTCCTATAGAGGTAGAGTTTAAATTTTACCCATCATTCTAGCACTGCAGTTCAACTCAGGACTTTTTCAAAATCTCCCTGCTTGGGAGATTCAGAACATTGCTGATCTCAATTTCAAGGTAAAAAATTAAGAAAGGAACAAGTTTTCCAGTCATCTTTGTAAGAAAAAGATAATATTATCCCTCCACATCCTTAAGTACAGAAAACAAGGGCAAGGGGGGAGGGGGGTAGTATTTGGGAACACTGATCAAGACAACTTGTGTATTTTTAAGTGAAGTAATTATCAGTAGTGCTGAAAACATTCACAGACCCCAGTGACAGGTAATGCTGAAGAGCATCCAGGTTTGTGTGAAAACATTGAAGCTCCTCATAGCTAGAGGACCTTTACTTGCAGAGCTGAAAGATCAAAGATCAAAAGACAGCTCAATTAGACTTTAAAGACAGACATTTAATTCTCAAATTGCAACCTCAGTTCACCTGTTTAGTCCCCAGAGGTAACACAGATATGCAGCTGGACTTAAGAGCAGTTATGGGATTTCCAGGGTAACAGTGCCAAAGCCATCGTTTTCACTTACTGAGAACAAAATTGATCTGCTGGTAAATCATTCTCTCCCCCTAAGATTGTTTGGACAGTCTAATTTCATACAGTAGGTTCTGCTCTTCAATTTCAGCATGTTCATAACTCTTGCTGACATTTATCACATTTGGATCAAGGGGAATGCTCCCATTGTAGTTCAATTTTCTTTGTGAATTCACATCCCACATAAAAAATTCCATTTAAAAAGCTCCTCCTGTGCAGTTAACTGATGAGCATCATGAGATGACTATTTTTATTCTTGGATGAGTTTCATGACTATTCAAATATACATTTCTGTGACAGTACAACTCAAAAGAAGATATATTGAAATCAAGAAATTTTCAGGAGTGTTTTAGAGACCAGTGCTGACAGAGGCTAAGGAAGAAAACCAAGGGAAGAAGAGGAGCTGAAGAAAAACAGAAACAGCTCCATGCCAAGCCAAACACCCATGGAGGGGCAGAACAGGCATTAAAGCTTTTACAGCCAGTTCAGCAGATGCCCTGGCTTCCAGCCCTGCCCTGCCTGGCTCACTGTCCCTGGGACTTGTCCCTCTCTACTTTCAGGTGGCAAAAAGTTAATTAAACATCATCAGAAAACTGATTTTTCAAGAATAATACATAAGCTGCAGCTTCTTCTGCTCTGAGGAAATCAGTATTTTGTGCAGCTCTGCCTACCCAGCAGTCTGACGTGCATCCCACAGACGTGTGCATTTCACCAGAGACCTTTTTGAAAGCACTGTAACCAAATTATTTTCCAGACTTACGTGAGTCGTTACAAGCCAGACCTAGGAGTCAGTGAAAATGAAGATAATTTTAGACCATTTAATAAATCAATTAAAAAAATTAAAAAAAAAAAAAAAGAAATTTCTCATTTTGGAAGGAGAGGAAGAATTCCTGGAACTGACAATGGCAGAAAGTAACTGAATAGCCAGGACTTCCTAGAGTGATGATATTTGGGACAACCTTGCTAGTCAAAAGCCTGGAAGAGGTGGGATGTATCTGGAGCAGACATCCATAAAAATCTATTTCTGGTTTCCTTGGGTTTGTAACATCCATTCAATTTCCCAGGCTAAAATCCCACTCTAATTTTAGAGGGTTTGGTATTGGAATAGTAAGTTTAGTTCACCTACATTTATTGACTAAGATCTTCACAAAGGAGATTTTCATTAAAAATGGGCAAGGAAATTCAGATGAGCTTAATTCACTGCATAAGAAATGTTAGTAATTCTATTACAACCTATGAGGTCATTTAGGTACACAATACTTAACTCATTAAGGAACAGTAATCATCATTTGTCCAAGAAAAGACCACAAATGCAGCTCCTCAAATTACTACATCTGCAAAGGGATGAGCTTATTCCTCTTGCTCTCCAGGATATTGCATCAACACCATACTTGGGAAAGCTGGGGGTACCAGACTGTGGGTACATGATCCCCTGAATTCAGCACCTAACACATTAGTTAAAAAAATAGATCTAGAAATAGGTCAAGAAACTATGAAGGAGAAACTCTGGAAGTGTAACAGAAAAGCTTTGGAGACTTCAAAATATTACATCCTTGCAGAAAATGAGTTAAAATATTCTTCACACAGAGACAGTGTGCTATAAATACTGCAATAACTCAATGAAATAAAATTGGTCATTTCTTCTTACCCTACCACAAAGACACACCCCTGCAGCTAAAAATAATGATATTCAGACTGATGTTTATTAGAAGTAGGCAAAATGTTGTTAATTTCATACAGTCTCAGAAGCACTGTGCTGCCTGAGCTTACTGAATATCAGATGACCTTGAAAGTGCCTGAGTCATGGACAGCTCAAGCTGCAGCCTAAACCACCATCCTAAATCTTATACATCGTCACGTACTCATTATCTGGGCTTTGTACTTTCCTACCACTGAGGGATTTTCATATAAATTATACAGGAAATGAAGCAAAATGCAATTACATTCTCCAACAGCTCCAAGGCAGATAGATCGCAAAGGCATGCAGCACAGTTCAAGAGTCAGCTTTCAACAAATGTCACCTATTAGGAGGAATCTAAATGAAACATATATCACTAAGCCTCCCACTTCTAAATTATATCATTATCTCATCACTAGGATAAGCAGTTATAAGGTTACAGCAACTTCAAATAATCAGCTTTCAAACAGATTTCTCAAAGGGACTTTTCATCTCTGCTTTTACACATCACCATTTGGACTTTCACATATACTAGAAAATTCTATTATACTATATTAAATTGAGTTATCCCAATGAAAACATCTCTAGTAAGGTTAAGCCAGACACTTAATAATCCATTAGCACCCTCGGTTTTTCAACATAACAAGTTTTCTCATAATGGCTTTTCAGTCTCAAAAGGAAAAGACACAGCTATGGAACTTCTGAGTGTTCTGAACGGATGGGATTCAGCTGAACAGTGGGAACACTGCAGTGATGAATAAAATCATATTTTTTCCCCTGCCTTCAGTGGATGGCAAGTCAGCCCCACAGCCTTTGCATTAACAGCTCCTAGCCCAGGTCCTAGGAGACCACGTGGAACACTCACATCTTCAAGGGAGGATCCTTTCTTAACCCATTTTTTAAAGTGAAGATCTTGGACTTTTTTGTTGCTTGCATTTGGGGGGCTTTTATGGGTGCTACCCTCAGTGCAAAAGCATCAAAAACCCAATACAAAATGCAGTTTACAAACATTAGGTAAACACTAACAAAATCTTGATACGTATATTTCAAATAGTCCTTTCTTCCCAGGATCTCACCATGCAAATACCTTTATCTGCTGCTGAATTAATTATCACTGAGCTTATGGACATCAGGTGTTTGAGGCCAAAAGTTACAAGAAAAGCCTCAAATCACAAAATAGTGAAGAGACTTTCTTAGTTACTGTGGTAATGATCTCCTTCCTGCCAGCACACATTAAACACATGCTGGTTTTTGTAACTTTATCTTTGTGTTCACTGGTCTCACGGTACATTTTATTTCCTCTGTAGGTGGAATGTTTTGAGAAAGCTCTTTTATAGCCAGCATGGGCTTTGCTAAATTAACCCATCTAAGATCTGAGATGTGTTATGGAGATGCATATAAGCAGCCTCTAAGGCTCAGCTCAAGCAAAACAGTTTAAATCTTAATAAGAAAATTATGACTCACAACCTATCATTAATATTTAGCTTTTTATTATTATTACACAACAAACTAAGTCTGATTTCTTTTTTTTTTCACTCCCCTTTCTTGTATTTCCTGCTCATGGTATAATCATTAAGTTCTCATTACAGTATTTAATTTTCACACTTTTAAACACCATGATATTCTTCTCAAGGTTTTAAGATGTGCAGTTCTTCACAATTTAAAAAGCTGACACCTAAATGCAGAAAATATATCAAAAGAAATAATTTTTTTAGGCTTAATTAAATGAATGCGATCTCTTTGCAACTTGTAAATCATCTTAGCTGTAACTAATACTGATTTGTTTAATTGGGTAACTGGTTTAAAAGCTTAAAGGACTAAACTAAACCAGCACCAAGGTAGGAAGCTATTTAATTCAGCCTGTGCAGACCTTTAGCTTTGTATTGTATTTCAAAGCACATAAATGCGAACAAGAAAACAGAACTACTGAAAATATTGGTTTATGGTTTAATTAGTCCTTTCAGGATGTGTACTGTTTTTGAATAGATAACATGTCTATCAATAGGAAAGAAAAAGTTATGAAAATGGTGACATCTGGGAAAAAAATACAAAAAGAACACGAGTGAAAGTTCTTATAAGAAGTCTTACTTTTTATGAATAAAAGGATTTTCCATCGAGACTCCATTTCTATTGTCACACAATGAATCTCCTGCCATCACAAACACAGATGTTCCCTTAACTCTGCACAAATGCCAAAAGCTCTTTGTCTTAATATCCACTCTGGGAGGGCTTCCATGCTAATAAGAATGTATTAGCATTTTATTAAGCAATGTTCCTGATCTGCTGCTGGTCCTTAGCCTTTCCCTCCTGTGTGGTCCCAGCCAAGCATTGCCCCAGATGAGCCTGGAGGAAGGCAAAGCACATCATGAGCTGTGTAGGGGGAGCAGGGTGAGGACAGCACCTTGCCCCTGTCTGTACCATAAATGTATTTGTGTGGAGAATTTGATGCATCCAGGGTGATCAGTGGGATGAGAACCCCTTCACCTGCATGTGACAGGAGGATGAGAGTGCAGTCCTGATGCTGAAGGCAAACTGGAATTGCTGCCCTGAATGAAACGCCCTGGTAATTAATTTCACCATTAGATGCTGCTTCCAGCCCTGGGCGGGGGCAAAAGCCATTCCCACCCTTTTTGCAGGAATGAACATAAATCACCGTAAAATTGCGGCTCCCAGGAGAACTCGGAGGACTTGCAGCATCCCTGCGTGCTGGAGGATGCTGGCACCAGGCAGCCTTCGGATTTCTCCCTGCAGAGATCCGACCGCTCCACCGTGTGGCCAAGCTGCTCCCTCCGACACCGCTGCTCTCAGCTGAGGGGTCCCTTTGGGAAAGAAAATTCGGATTAACTCTTGGGAAGGAAGCAAAACATCCAAAAGAAGGTGTTTTCAGCCGGAAAAACCCCCTTCAGTTCAATTCTCCAGATACAGTCACACGTATCTGGTTTAATTGCAGAGCACTGGATGGCCATAGATGAACCCAAGAGCACTAAAGTCACAGGAAAGTTATGTAAAAGGCTAGAAACAGTTAAATCCCCACTCGAAGTCCGTATCAGAGTTTAAAAACCAAAGGCCATTCTTTTCATTTGTTAATAAGGTGTGCGCAACTAATTAGGAAAAAAACCCACCTATATATTATGCAAAATACTTTTATTATCCTTCTTCCTCTCTGAGATATATAAACTACACCAGTTTTTCACTTAGGGTTGGGATTTTTTCCTTTACTTTCTAATATCAGAAGCATTAAGAATGGAATGTTTTTTACTTTAACCTTTTTGCTTAATTCTTCAGTGAACTTTTTAAGCACTACTTCTTCCATATAGCATATTCAGTGCCACATTAATTGCTTAATATCCACAGGTGACTAGAAAAAGAAATATTGTTATTAACATTTATCAACAAAACAATAAAAAGAAAGGATATTTATGCTCCCATTTAGAGAAATAACATCTTCTGCTGAAAGGTGAAGTTCTCATAAGTAATTAGATGGTTTTGATCTAAAGGGAGGCATCTGAATCTAATGAGTAATGTTTCCCAGAAATGTGACTCCATTGTCTAATTTTCACAAAACTAATCTCTTTCTTCTGGTAATGATGAATAAGAAAATCAATATATTGGAAGTGCCAGAACATAAAACAAGCTTGGAGTGCAGAACGTGTAATTTGTCACATTCATGGTCCTTTTTGAAGAATGTAAATGAAACAGTTGAAACAGCACTGATATTTCAACTGCCAGAGCATACTTCTGAAAATTACTTTCTCAGACTATTAGTATAATCCACTGTTTACTTATTGTGAAAAGTCTCCTTGAAAGAAAATTAAGGGGTGGTGCATTCAATACTGAGTGCTCTGCTCCTCCTGCACACCCAAACCAGACAAATTCTGTAAAACATCATTTTTTAAGTACCAAGTCCAGACATTTAAGTGTTCTGTTTAAACACAAGGAACTAATCTGATTTTCTTGTAACCTGATTTAAAATTTGTAACATAACCTATAATGAAGAATCCAAATCAATGAGATTGGGAACCTGTACTTCTTTGAGGAAAAAAAGCCAACAGAGTCATTCCACAGACATGCTCAGAAACAAAACAACTGGAATGTGAGATGAACGTAGCTAAACAAGATTCTGTCATTTGAGATGACATACACTGATTTCCTGGAACATTTAATATTGATGTGGTTTTCTGCAGATCAGTTAGACACCAAGAATACCTGAAAGGGAAAGGTTCAAGTCACTAGATCATAAATCTCAATTTTTAGAAGGTGAAAATTCTCAAGAACCCATTCCTGAAGGTCACATCCTCCCTGTGGCCAGTGCAGCACCTTGCAGGAAATTCTGTAGTGGAAAGAAAAATCAAGGCATGAAAGCAAAGCCTAAAACATTTGTCCCCTGATTAGGGGAAGTGTCTGCAAAGTACAACTTGACCTGAAGATTTTCTTTTAGTTACAAACATTTTTGAGAACCCAGGTAGCCACATAAATAATCACTACACCTCTGGAAATTACACTTGTATTTCACTCTCATATCTCATCCCACATCTCAGATATGGTTGACAACTGCTTAATCAATTTATGGTGCTTTTTACACAAGCACAGGTGGTTTTGCTGTTTAATATTTTTTATGCATCTGTGGGGGATAATAGTCTCCGAACATTTAAATGAGCGCTACAATAAACTGCAATTCCCTGATCAAACTGCAAGAAAAGTAGTTTTGGTTTGGTTTTTTTTTTTAAATAATATTCTGTGCTTCAACTGAAGCACAGCTGAGAGAAAAATTTCCACGGGGGACTGAAGCCAGAGAATTCAGAAGGCAACAAAGGCTACAGCTTCTGCAGCTACTCAGCTCTTCACAAAGCCTTTTGCCATGACCTCCCATACATTTAGAACACAGCCACTTGTCACCAAGAAATCATTTCCACTCTGCCCACCAGCCCAAGGAAACAGGGTCGTTAAGACCCAAAGCTGAGGACTGGAATCCTCCTGTTGTCAACTGGATGGTTAAACATGGTCAGCTCACCTGGGAATGGTGGTGGTGGGCCAGCTTGCTAGGGATCTGCAGGAACTTCCCCTAAGGATTCAAAGAAATTGTATTCAGTGTGGTGAACACATTTCTACCTGGCTGGGTGAACAGCCTGTGATACCTTTGTGTCCCAAGCTGCTGGTGAATCACTGGAAGCAGAAAGGGAAGTTTCTCCTGGAATATTTATCAGCACTTCTGGGGCAAAAGGCTGGCTGCTGGCAGTGGGATAAGAATAGTCAAAAGGCATTAATAGTCCTTAGAGAAGAATCCATGAAGTGAATGGCCTGTACCTCCATCACTTCATCCTGTCAGGACAAATCAGCTTGCTTGGTCTCTGCCTTTCTGTAAGCTGAATAAACAGAACCCTCAGGAAAACAATTGCTATTTCCAGTGAAATGAGCAGCTGATTTGCCAAGCAAAAAACTGCCAAGAAGACATAGAGAGGAAGACAGTCAAACAGTTATGAAAAAGGAAATACCGTCCCCAAGTTGAATTTGGCTGGTTGAGTTGGCAGGATGGGATCAGAAAGGGTATAATCAGAGGGAACAGAATAACAGAATGCATCTGAGTCGACTGGAGGAGGAAACAGAAATAGATTGTTCAGCCTTGCAGCCTATTGGTGCTGCTGTCAGACACAGCCAACCCTTCCAAGGCTCCTTTGAGGAGTTGTGCACTCTGCCAGGACACCAGAGATGGAGCTTCAGCATCAAAGGCACCTTTCCTCCTTTGCAGCCAGTGCCCCAGGCTCTGCATGCTCACTCCTGTAGTAAGTCTATGATGATGAGGGAGGGGGAAAATGCCCACGATCTGAATATAAGTGAGAAATCACCTACCAGTATGTGCAGTCACTACTCGCTGGCATGTGCTGTAGGACTCTGCCTACTGTGCCTCAGAAAAAATTCATTGTGACAGGGAAGCAAAGTCTGGAGATGAGCCTGTCCCAGGCAGGCTGTGCTGCTGCCCAGCTCAGTGTCCCAGCCTGGCTCTCCTGGGTGACCAGGCACAGTGTCCCCACGAGATGGCTGCAGAGGCTGTGGCATCGCAGTGAGCACGCAGAGCCCTCAGCTACAGGGCTCAAAGCACTCAAATGCATGTAGCTAGAAATTCCTCTTTCAAAAATGCAAATCCTTGAGACATTTGTCAAAACATCATTAAAAGTCATTTTTTAAAAAACATAATTTAATAATTTGCCTGGTTTTTAGATTGCTTTTTCTCTTTCCTGTTTGGCATTTTGTTCTGCTCATTTTTTGGTTATATGTCCAACACAATTCAAATAATCAGCATCAGATTATTATTTCTTTCTGCTTTTTGAAATCAATCTTTTTTTGGGAAGTTCTTTTGAAGCTTCTGCATCTCTGTTTTCTGCAATTAGGCTCTTTGTGTTAATTACACTGATTGCCAAACCTTCCATCTCTCCCACGCTTCACTGTCATCCACTGCTCACAGTGCCTGTTCACTACACCACCCATTCCTTTCCATTTTGGATTTTTTGGTACCTGGCCATGCCACTTCCTAGCTTGACACCAGCTCTGGGTCTTCAGCTCCAATTCAGCCAAGGAACATATGCATAATTCTAAACACAAGCTTGAGCAGGAAAAGCTTAGGTGGTCACCTAGCCCTGGAAACTTTGTCCTGACAAGATCCTCAGCACCTAAACAGCAACCTCAGCCAAGGACTGCCACTCCCTCTGAGTGGGAAGCGCTGAAATCCAAGGTCTGCCTCATCTGTCTGAAACAGTTTTACCATGGGTAACACAAACACTTTAGTCCAGGGACTTCTACATGTCCTTATGAGAATTGTAATTTTCTGAGGTCTGAAGGACACAGTGCTGATTTTAGCCTGGAAACCTCTTCTGCAACAGGTATTAAATGTCAAACAACCCAGAATCCCTTTTTTAGCCTATATCTAATAACAGCCTTAGTTTGGAAAGTCCCACAGAGAAAAACTGCATATGATTTCTCCAAAATCCATCTCTATCCCTCTCTTGGTTGAACCCTGGCTCGTTGTCAGGTTTCTCTGCTGTTCAGAATTGCTACACTTGTTCAAATCCATTAATTATTCCAATATGGGAGCGAACTTTGGCTAAGCAGTAAACCAAAGCCTCCCTATTCCTACCCAGCCCAGCTTTAGGCATGATTACTTACAGATTTACATCCCCATTTTTACCATGAACCCATTTCTCAGACTGATTCTTCTAAAGATTAAACAAACAATTGATGCCAGCCTGAGCCACAACCTCAGCACAGAAGCCAACAACCTATTTTATCCTTTAAATGTGCCCAACCATTAACCAATTAAAAAAAAAAAATCTACCATTACACATATATTTAGTACATTTAGGGGTTTTGCATCCTTTTTTTTTCTGCCCCAAGAGGGAACAAAATTATTCAGTGCCAGACTTCCATGGACCTTCTTTATCAGGAAAAAAAAAGCTCTGGTCTAAATTTTGACCATGAATAAACCTTCATGGCCTCATCTAAACCCAGTCCCTTAATTTTCATTATTACAGTGTATGCAAAGTATGTGAGTCACACAGATATCCCCTTTGGATAAGGCCACAAAGACTTTGTTCTTAGCCCTGAATGTGACATTTAACCTTCTGAAATCAATTCACGTGGCCATTACTAGCTGTTGTTTCATGCTTGTGGATTTGAGGCTTGGCTCTTATTGGAGAGTTTATTGATTAATTTCAACATTGAAAAAGCCTCATTTTGCCAGGGGGACATTTCTGGAGTTCAATTTTTGTAACTGAAAACCAACCATGAGAGTACATTAAAATTATCTACTTTTGAACCACTGAATCTTTTCATGGGAGCTTGCATATGGACATCTTTCACATTTATTTTTCTAGAAAACTTTCTGTCATTATGTAATTGAAATTAGACATGTATATAATTTCCACCCTATTACTAATTATAGACTCTAAAAGGGATTCTCTTGTAGCTTGCTTGCAAGTTACAACCTCTAAAAAGTGTGACAATTAAGGCAGAGAGTTAAGAGACCCTCAAACAGGGTCCAGAACATGCCATGTGTAGGTTGAGGCTCTCAAACTGGGCATAAATACATGAGACAAATGCTAAACCAGGAAAAACTGTTTATTTTAGAAAGATCTCATTACTGAAGCAGAAAGGACAGTTAATCACTTTGCTTCTGTTTCCCTGGGAAACTGTTCCATTAATGGCATTTCCCACCAAGAAAAGTTAGCACTTATTAATATTTTATTTGAAATTAAATCAAATTATGATCATTTGAAGAAAGTAATATAATTGCAATTTAATCTCTTTTCCATTTTCCCTTCTAATTTAATTCAATATGTGATAAGGAGTTTGAAAATCAGTGGGGGTGGATTTTTATATCTACACTTCTTAGTTGTGAGAAAAGAGTGGGTAGTTGTAAATATTTGTGGAAACTTTAAATCTTAAAAAACTAACATGAAAACATGGAACACTTTCATGTGCAATTCATAAATCAGCCTTTGAGGTGAAACAAAGTGCACTGCAACATTCTAAGATTTTTGAAAGTAGTTATAATTTTTTATCCAAACTTGGGAACAAAGGAAGCTGCAAAAGAAAGATTTATCAATAAACACACAGATATAAAGATATTGTAAAAGCACATGATGGATAAGAAAAGAGTGAGTTACCCTGCTCAAAAAATTACTGTTTTCTCCCTTTCACTGAAGTTCTGTAGTGGTTGACTGCAGAGTTTTAAAAAACCTGCTGAAAAACAATTTTATTAATATATATATATATATATATGTGTGTGTGTATATGTGTATATATACACACACACACACATACACATACATACATATATATATGTATATATACATAAAATAACAAGCATTTTTAATCAGCGATGAACCCTAAATTTTTTTAATATTTTACATTCTAAAGTATGGGTTTTTTTCCAAATGATGACACAAATTGATTTTAAAAATTAGTAGTAAATAATTATTAAAATATATTATGAATATAAACATTACTTTTATATCCATTTGTTTTAAACCAGAAACTATCCTGCATGTATTTCATTTTTCCAAGCGTGACATTAATATTAATATATCTGTATATTGTATAAAATTATGGAAATAACTGGAATATTAAGATTACTATGAAATTGTATGCATTCATACCACTTACATCTGCTGTCTGAAAGGGCTGTATCAGATATTCTGAGCAGAATAATCAAGTGCTGCAGGCTTTTCGAGTTATCTCTTTTTCCAGATATTACTGTAGTCATTATAAATGACACAACAAACTAAGCACTGAACAAAAGAAAACTCTTGGACTGAAAATAAATCTTGTCTAGTTGGAAAAAAAATCATGCCTTGAGAGCAATTCCTTCTCAGGACAGAAATGTAAACTGGCTTGCAGACAACAGCAATCTCAGAAATTTCAGTCTTGGGGGAATCCTGGCAGGGCAGCAGTGGGTGAGGAGGATGGGATGTCCTCTGCACACTTATCTCCTCTTCATGTTGCCCAAGAAAGCCACATCTGTCTCCTCCTCTGGCAGGGACAGCAGTGCCCTGGAGGTGGTTAACCCACAGGATCCAAGAAAAATCTGTACATGAAAAAGAAAGGCACTCCATCCCTTATTTGGCTAATTAAGGAGAAAACTAGTCTTAGCAGTTTTGAGAAAATCCAAGACAAATTTAAGCATCTGGTATTTTCCGCTCATCTCTTCATTTGGGCTTTCTTGGCATATGAGCTGGATTTTTGGCTGATTTCCACTACAAGCAGAGAAGAGGAGAAGTCAAGAAGTGTCCTCACTTTCCCACCATTCATCTTCACTCTTTTCCAAAAAAGCAGTGATAAGGCCAGAGTAATCTCTGTGGGCATCCCAGGCATAGTGGAGCATCTGACTTCCTTCTAAAAAAACTTATACTATGTGCAGTTGCAATAATCTTGACATATTTTCTCCACACATCAAATTACTTGGAGAGTCTTGACGGCTCTTTTGGCAACTCCTTTTCCTGCTGCCTCCTCAGCTACAAAAGGCTGTTTTTCTTGTCAACCCTAGTTGCATTTGCAAAAAAACCCAGGAAG